TGTCTGCGTGTCTGTGTGTGTGTGTGTGTGTGTGTGTGTGTTGTGTGTCTGGATAAACCTGGATTGTTGCAGGTCTTAAAGCTCTGTTTGTTTTAGCTTCAGCTTTAATCTGTTTCAGCGTTTTCCAAATCCTCGACTTTAATCTCCACAGATCCTCTGTCCCAGTCCATGAGCAACGCACCAACAACCTCTGTGTCTCTCTGCCCCAGTCCATGAGCAACGCACCAACAACCTCTGTGTCTCTCTGCCCCAGTCCATGAGCAACGCACCAACAACCTCTGTGTCTCTCTGCCCCAGTCCATGAGCAACGCACCAACAACCTCTGTGTCTCTCTGTCCCAGTCCATGAGCAACGCACCAACAACCTCTGTGTCTCTCTGCCCCAGTCCATGAGCAACGCACCAACAACATCTTGTGTCTCTCTGTCCCAGTCCATGAGCAACGCACCAACAACCTCTGTTTCTCTCTACCCCAGTCCATGAGCAACGCACCAACAACCTCTGTGTCTCTCTGTCCCAGTCCATGAGCAACGCACCAACAACCTCTGTGTCTCTCTGTCCCAGTCCATGAGCAACGAACCAACAACCTCTGTGTCTCTCTGTCCCAGTCCATGAGCAACGAACCAACAACCTCTGTGTCTCTCTGCCCCAGTCCATGAGCAACGCACCAACAACCTCTGTGTCTCTCTGCCCCAGTCCATGAGCAACGCACCAACAACCTCTGTGTCTCTCTGCCCCAGTCCATGAGCAACGCACCAACAACCTCTGTGTCTCTCTGCCCCAGTCCATGAGCAACGCACCAACAACCTCTGTGTCTCTCTGCCCCAGTCCATGAGCAACGCACCAACAACCTCTGTGTCTCTCTGCCCCAGTCCATGAGCAACGCACCAACAACCTCTGTGTCTCTCTGCCCCAGTCCATGAGCAACGCACCAACAACCTCTGTGTCTCTTGCCCCAGTCCATGAGCAACGCACCAACAACCTCTGTGTCTCTCTGCCCCAGTCCATGAGCAACGCACCAACAACCTCTGTGTCTCTCTGTCCCAGTCCATGAGCAACGCACCAACAACCTCTGTGTCTCTCTGTCCCAGTCCATGAGCAACGCACCAACAACCTCTGTTATATTCACACACAGTCTGTGCGTCTCTAACACAGACTGTAAATATAAACAGACAGAGTCAGTATCTCCGTCGTTCTAACTAATGGGCCACAAAATGTGCTCTACTGGAGTTATCCAAAATGGCCGCGAGTGGTCCCGCCCACAAGAGAAATGTGAAAACACACATCTGTGCATGCGTCAGCTGCGAGAGCTCCATTCATTTAAACGAGAGACTTCTAAAGTCCACAGCGACTAAACTAGACTGGTCCAGAACACTCAGCATTGACACACATGTGGACCGGAGCTTTGGGCCAAGAGACACTTTTGGACCATCCTGTAAAGACGTTTTCCAGAGGTAAGAAGATGCTATATGTTAGCATTGGCTAATTCTTCTTCTGGGTCCACCCCCACAGGCCCGGGGTGGTACTGCAGCATGTCAGCGCACGTCATTTTGGACACTTTTGAGTCAGGACCCGCCCCCACTGGTTTCAGGACAAAGACTGAAGCAGAAAAACTCACAGCCACCTCAACCATTCTATCTCTAAGGGAGCAGCGGCTGTACTCCGAGCTCCTCTATCTCCACCTGGAGGAAGCTGATCTGGATTCTATCTCTAAGGGAGCAGCGGCTGTACTCCGAGCTCCTCTATCTCCACCTGGAGGAAGCTGATCTGGAGTTTGTATCGATCTCGTCCTTTTGGTGGTTTCCCAAAGATCTTCTTCTTCTGAGAATATTCACTGACGTCTGTGTTTGTTTCAGTTTCAGTTTGTAATGAAACTTTCTTTGATCTGAGTCTTCTTCAGGACGACTCTGACTCTGACAAAGGAGGAGGTGTGTGTCTCTGTGTGTGTGTGTGTGTGTGTGTGTGTGTCTGTGTGTGTGTGTGTGTCTGTGTGTGTGTCTGTGTGTGTGCGTGTGTGTGTGTGTGTGTGTGTGTCTGTGTGTCTCTGTGTGTGTGTGTGTGTGTCTCTGTGTGTGTGTGTGTCTGTGTGTCTGTGTGTGTGTGTCTCTGTGTGTGTGTCTGTGTGTCTGTGTGTGTGTGCGTGAGTATGTGAGTGTGTGTGCGTGTCTCTGTGTGTGTGTGTCTGTGTGTGTGTGTGTGTGTGTGTGTGTCTGTGTATGTGTGTGTGTCTATGTGTGTGTGTGTCTGTGTATGTGTGTGTGTCTATGTGTGTGTGTGTGTGTGTGTGTGTGTGTGTGTCTGTGTGTGTGTGTGTGTGTGTGTGTCGGTGTGTGTGTGTGTGTGTGTGTGTGTGTGTGTGTGTGTGTGTGTGTGTGTGTGTGTGTGTGTGTGTGTGTGTGTCTGTGTGTGTGTGTGTGTGTGTGTGTGTGTGTGTGTGTGTGTCTCTGTGTGTGTGTGTGTGTGTGTGTGTGTGTGTGTGTCTCTGTGTGTGTGTGTGTGTGTGTGTGTGTGTGTGTGTGTGTGTGTGTGTCTCTGTGTGTGTGTGTGTGTGTGTGTGTGTGTGTGTCGCCCCAGACTTTAAAGACCCAGAGCATTGATCCGTGGAGCTGCGTCTGCGACGAGGTAAAAACACTTTCCTTGTTTTTCCTTTTTCTCTGTAATTATTTGACTTTTGTTGTGTTTCTGTTTCTGTTTCTGTTTCTGTGCCACATCAATAACTTTACCTCAGAGCAGAGAAAACTATTTAAGATTTAAATAATAATTACACAAATTCTACAAATGCTTCTTTTGAATCAGCAGAAAATCAGGTTGAATTTGGACAAAGTAAAAAAGTGGATCAGTGAAACAGGACAGTGCACTTAGAAGCGTTGTTAACCACGCTGCACTTAGAAGCATTGTTAACCACGCTGCACTTAGAAGCATTGTTAACCACGCTGCACTTAGAAGCATTGTTAACCACGCTGCACTTAGAAGCATTGTTAACCACGCTGCACTTAGAAGCATTGTTAACCACGCTGCACTTAGAAGCGTTGTTAACCATGCTGCACTTAGAAGCGTTGTTAACCACGCTGCACTTAGAAGCATTGTTAACCACGCTGCACTTAGAAGCGTTGTTAACCACGCTGCACTTAGAAGCATTGTTAACCACGCTGCACTTAGAAGCGTTGTGCTACATTTTTGCTGCAAGCAGCAAAAATGTTCATGTATTCCATGGTCCTATCGCACATAACCTACTGTTTAACAACTTGGTCTCAAGCAAATAAAACAACACTAAAGCCCTTAGAGTCACTTTACAAACGGACAATAAAAATTCTGGACAAAAAACCAATGAGGTATCATCACTGCAATATCCTTCAAAAGCACAAACTTTTAAGCTGGGAAAATCTCATTAAGTATTCAAACCTCTGCCTCATACATAAAATAATCCACAACCAATCATCTCCCCCACTCAGTCAGTTTGTCAGCATCAGAAACCCCACATCTTTACAGCGGGTGACCAGAGGAGCAGCTCGAGGAGACTGCATAGTTCCATTTAGGAAAAGTGCCTTTAGTCAGAACACCTTTTCTGTAACTGCAGCCAAAGACTGGAACTCCATCCCAGCTAACATAAGAGATCTGTCCACTTACATACTGTTTAAAAAACATTTAAAGAACTGGTTCATTACTCAACAGTCTTGCAGTCATTAACCCCTGTCTGTATTATGATTCTTATTGTTTGCACTGTTTGTATTTGTATATAACCTGTATAGTGTAGTGACTGTGTCCTACTTTGTATTCTATTGCACTGACCGTAATGTTTTATTGTTTTATTGTCTTAGGGAGACTTTTTACATCTGTCCAGAGGGACTACGGATGAAAAATAGCCTTTTGGCTAATTCCGGTGCATTTACAGAAATGTTGATTAATGTACACACTGTCCTGTCCAAATAACTCCTGTCTATATGTACAGTATATAACTCCTGTCTATATGTACAGTATATAACTCCTGTCCTATATGTACAGTATATAACTCCTGTCCTATATGTACAGTATATAACTCCTGTCTATATGTACAGTATATAACTCTGTCCTATATGTACAGTATATTATACATTGTACATATAGAGTAGTATAGAGTATAATATTTATCATATACTGTATATATTTGAGAGACTGGTATTGAAGCATTTATAGTTAAACACAGCAGATCCTTATTCTGTATACTGTGCTCCCTGTGTCTTACTACTGTCCTGTCTGTGCGCTGCAACACTGAAAGTTCCCCACTGTGGGACAGTGCTATACAAATAACCTTGATGTGAACATGTGTTGTGTGTGAGTGACAGATGGACTGTTCTCCTTCAGGTCCTCGTTACAAATCCTCAGCCTTTCAAACGTTCCCATGACGACGGCTCAGACGCAGCCTCCGTCTGACGAACGAGTCGGGTGTGCGCCCGCGGCTCCAGGCGTGATGCAACACTGTGTCACTACAGACCTGGAGCTGTTTTTACCTCCATCCAGGCTGAGGCACAGTCTGGGTTTAATCTGTCACAGCAGCGTCTCTGAGGATTCTCTAACGCTGTGGATTCAAACAGATGTTCACATGTTGTTCCAGTCTCACTTCACACGGACTCAGGAGACACACACACTGCAGAGAGGAATCTTAATATACCAACATGTGTCCTGTCTGTGCGCTGCAACATTGACATTTCCCCACTGAGGGATGACTAAACGATCTTTCTAATCTTAGACACAAGGAATCAGAAAATCAAAGAGTTCAGAGACAGTGCAATGATAGAAAACAGACGTTGGTCCATGAACGTCTCTGTCCTTATGTTAGACCCTGTGAGGTGGCCACAGCTGCCCTGGGTCAGACTGACAGAAGCAAGACCACAGAGATCTCCGAGATTGGGCTTTGACTAATTTTTAATTTTTTTTTTGGTGAAAATAAAAGTGGATCCAAAACGTCACAGGTTTGACATTAGATCTGGTCCATCTCCGCTCCTCAGACCTGGCGCTCTAAGACCTAGAGCACCCTCAGACCTGGCGCCCTCAGACCTGGCGCCCTCAGACCTTTAGCGCCCTCGGACCTGGCGCCCTCAGACCTATAGCGCCTCGGACCTGGCGCCCTCAGACCTTTAGCGCCCTCGGACCTGGCGCCCTCAGATATCGCAGACCTGGCGCCCGCAAAACCTATAGCACCCTCAGACCTGGCGCTCTCGGACCTTAAGCACCCTCAGACCTGGCGCCCTCAGACATCTCAGACCTGGCGCCCTCAGACATCTCAAACCTGGCGCCCTCAGACATCTCAAACCTGGCGCCCTCAGACCTGGCGCCCCGGGGCACACAGCTCGTCTGTGTTATAATTGACAAACGTGGGACTCAGAACAAAAGCCTCGTGACATCATCCAAAGGTTATGTCCAGCCCTCGCTCTCCCCAAACCACTGCTCTGTGACAAAGGGCTCCTGTGCCGGCCCCGCGGCCCCTGGAGGAGACGTCCGTGCAGGGGGGAGAGAGAGGGGGGAGAGAGGGGAGAGAGAGGGGGAGAAGAAAGGATCTGTGTGGGCCTCAGAGCGGAGCATTGTGGAGCAGACAGACTCATCAGGTCAGAGCAGGACACAGACACAAGCAGTTTATACAGGAGAGAGACCCTACAATGAGAGAGAGAGACCAGAGAGAGAGACCAAAGAGAGACCAGAGAGAGAGAGAGAGACCAGAGAGAGACCAAAGAGAGACCAGAGAGAGAGAGAGAGACCAGAGAGAGAGACCAAAGAGAGAGAGACCAAAGAGAGAGACCAGAGAGAGAGACCAAAGAGAGAGACCAGAGAGAGAGACCAAAGAGAGAGACCAGAGAGGGAACAGAGAGGGAACAGAGAGAAAGACCAAAGAGAGAGACCAAAGAGAGAGACCAGAGAGAGATCAGAGAGACCAGAGAGAGAGACCAGAGAGAGAGAGAGACCAGAGAGAGAGACCAGAGAGAGACCAAAGAGAGACCAGAGAGAGAGACCAAAGAGAGAGAGACCAAAGAGAGAGACCAAAGAGAGAGACCAAAGAGAGAGACCAGAGGGAGAGACCAAAGAGAGAGACCAGAGAGAGAGACCAAAGAGAGAGACCAGAGAGGGAACAGAGAGGGAACAGAGAGAGAGACCAAAGAGAGAGACCAGAGAGAGAGACCAAAGAGAGACCAGAGAGAGATCAGAGAGACCAGAGAGAGAGACCAGAGAGAGAGACCAGAGAGAGAGAGAGAGAGACCAGAGAGAGACCAAAGAGAGAGACCAAAGAGAGAGACCAGAGAGAGAGACCAGAGAGAGAGACCAAAGAGAGAGACCAGAGGGAGAGACCAAAGAGAGAGACCAGAGAGAGATCAGAGAGACCCCAAAGAGAGAGACCAGAGAGAGACCAAAGAGAGAGACCAGAAAGAGACCAAAGAGAGACCAGAGAGAGATCAGAGAGACCCCAAAGAGAGAGACCAGAGAGAGAGACCAAAGAGAGAGACCTGAAAGAGACCAAAGAGAGAGACCAGAGAGAGATCAGAGAGACCCCAAAGAGAGAGACCAGAGAGAGACCAGAGAGAGAGACCAAAGAGAGAGACCAGAAAGAGACCAAAGAGAGAGACCAGAGAGAGAGACCAAAGAGAGAGACCAGAGAGAGATCAGAGACCCCAAAGAGAGAGACCAGAGAGAGACCAAAGAGAGAGACCAGAAAGAGACCAAAGAGAGAGACCAGAGAGAGATCAGAGAGACCCCAAAGAGAGAGACCAGAGAGAGACCAGAGAGAGACCAAAGAGAGAGACCAGAGAGAGATCAGAGAGACCCCAAAGAGAGACCAAAGAGAGAGACCAAAGAGAGAGACCAGAGAGAGAGACCAAAGAGAGAGACCAGAGAGAGAGACCAAAGAGAGAGACCAGAGAGAGATACCAAAGAGAAAAACCAGAGAGAGATCAGAGAGACCCCAAAGAGAGAGACCAGAGAGAGACCAAAGAGAGAGACCAGAAAGAGACCAAAGAGAGAGACCAGAGAGAGATCAGAGAGACCCCAAAGAGAGAGACCAGAGAGAGAGACCAAAGAGAGAGACCAGAAAGAGACCAAAGAGAGAGACCAGAGAGAGAGACCAAAGAGAGATCAGAGAGACCCCAAAGAGAGAGACCAGAGAGAGAGACCAAAGAGAGAGACCAGAGAGAGAGACCAAAGAGAGAGACCAGAGAGAGAGACCAGAGAGAGACCAGAGAGAGACCAGAGAGAGATCAGAGAGACCCCAAAGAGAGAGACCAGAGAGAGACCAAAGAGAGAGACCAGAGACCAGAGAGAGAGACCAAAGAGAGAGACCAGAGACCAGAGAGATGAATGCCTTGCATCTTGTTTTGTTTTGTGTATAAACTGTGATATATCTAAAGTGATTTTGAAGAAGTCTAAATCCTTATATAGTAAAGAATATAAAGAGTAGAAGATGAGAAACCCCGGTGATACAGGTGCAAACATAATCTTCCTCTTCAGCCGCGGCAAGACTCAAAGTGAAGACCTGAAAAACCTTGAACCGAAACAAAAACAAAGAAAACTCATCGTGATCGACAAAGAGACGCTGCTGTGTTTGCATTTCTAATATTTCACGCTCTGCCGTCTCCGAGATTTCCATTAGGCTCCAGTCTGTCCACAGTTTGAGAACTGACAGCACCCAGACCGGGTCCAGACAGGGTCTAAACTGGGTCCAGACCAGGTCTAGACTGGGTCCAAGTCCAGGTCTAGACTGGGTCCAAGTCCAAACTGGGTCCAGACCTGCCTCTTGATTTAAGCTGGTTCTGGTTTAGCGTTTTCTCATCTAAACTCCTGTTACACATGGACAATGCTAACCCACTAGCTCAATAGGGAAGTGCTCTTGGACAAAGTTTGCTCCTATCACTAATGTGGCAGAGGTGCTTTGCTACTTTGTCATAATGTGATCCTTACCTGTAAAAGAGGGCGTGGCTTAGTCGGCCAATTTGTGGTCCTGGGCCAGACCTTTGAGGGCGGAGCCTCCTGGTGTAAAAACCTCTGGGGTGAACTGTCAGCAAGGTTCTAGACTTAGATAAATGTAGTTTGCAGTGAAGGATCACAGGAGCAATACACTGGGTCAGAAACAGAAACACAGGTGCTCCTCCGACCACAGGGTAGGAAGAGGAAACCGCTATAATGATAACATAGAAAAGGAGGCGGGACAAGTGTTGACTAGTGATCTGCAGAGCTCTCCCATCCCAGTACTGACCAGGCCCTGTCCTGCTTAGCCTCAGGGGTCTCCCATCCCAGTAATAACCAAATCCTGTCCTTAGCCTTAGAGGTCTCCCATCCCAGTTCTAACCAGGCCCTGCCCTGCTCAGCTTTAGATGTCTCCCATCCCAGTTCTAACCAGGCTCTGCCCTGCTCAGCCTTAGAGGTCTCCCATCCCAGTTCTAACCAGACCCTGCCCTGCTCAGCCTTAGAGGTCTCCCATCCCAGTTCTAACCAGGCCCTGCCCTGCTTAGCCTCAGAGGTCTCTGAGTCTGTGGAGGAAGAATGCAGCAAATTTGACATTTGGTAAAAACCGCTTTAACAAAAGAGTCTCAGACACGACCCACACAGACGCACACACAACACACATATACACACACTGAGGGTAACACACAGACACACACACTCAGGGTAACACAACACACACACACTGAGGGTAACAACACACATGCCACCACAGTGTGTCTCCCTCTCTGCATCTCTGTCTTTCTCTCTGCGTCACTGTCTCTGTCTCTCTCGCTTCTTCGGCAAACCGTCTCTAACATGTGTTGAATCTGGGACACGTCTCTAACATGTGTTGAATCTGGGACACGTCTCTAACATGTGTTGAATCTGGGACACGTCTCTAACATGTGTTGAATCTGGGACACGTCTCTGACATGTGTTGAATCTGGGACACGTCTCTAACATGTGTTGAGTCTGGGACACGTCTCTAACATGTGTTGAGTCTGGGACACGTCTCTAACATGTGTTGAATCTGGGACACGTCTCTAACATGTGTTGAATCTGGGACACGTCTCTAACATGTGTTGAATCTGGGACACGTCTCTAACATGTGTTGAATCTGGGACACGTCTCTAACATGTGTTGAATCTGGGACACGTCTCTAACATGTGTTGAGTCTGGGACACGTCTCTAACATGTGTTGAATCTGGGACACGTCTCTAACATGTGTGTTGAGTCTGGGACACGTCTCTAACATGTGTTGTTGGGACACGTCTCTAACGTTTTGGAATCTAACATGTGTGATGGGACACGTCTCTAACATGTGTTGAATCTGGGACACGTCTCTAACATGTGTTGAATCTGGGACACGTCTCTAACATGTGGTGAGTCTGGGACACGTCTCTAACATGTGTTGAGTCTGGGACTAACGATCTGGACACGTCTCTAACATGTGTTGAGTCTGGGACACGTCTCTAACATGTGTTGAGTCTGGGACACGTCTCTAACTAACGTGTTGAATCTGGGACACGTCTCTAACATGTGTTGAATCTGGGACACGTCTCTAACATGTGTTGAATCTGGGACACGTCTCTGACATGTGTTGAGTCTGGGACACGTCTCTGACATGTGTTGAGTCTGGGACACGTCTCTAACATGTGTTGAATCTGGGACACGTCTCTAACATGTGTTGAGTCTGGGACACGTCTCTAACATGTGTTGAGTCTGGGACACGTCTCTAACATGTGTTGAATCTGGGACACGTCTCTTAACATGTGTTGAATCTGGGACACGTCTCTAACATGTGTTGAATCTGGGACACGTCTCTAACATGTGTTGAGTCTGGGACACGTCTCTAACATGTGTTGAGTCTGGGACACGTCTCTAACATGTGTTGAGTCTGGGACACGTCTCTAACATGTGTTGAGTCTGGGACACGTCTCTAACATGTGTTGAGTCTGGGACACGTCTCTAACATGTGTTGAGTCTGGGACACGTCTCTAACATGTGTTGAGTCTGGGACACGTCTCTAACATGTGTTGAGTCTGGGACACGTCTCTAACATGTGTTGAATCTGGGACACGTCTCTAACATGTGTTGAATCTGGGACACGTCTCTAACATGTGTTGAGTCTGGGACACGTCTCTAAAAGATTGTGCCCTATCGTGTCCTGCCATGCCGCTCTGCACTCTTCCCCTCAGGGCGACGTCATAAGGCCTCGCTCCTCCACATTCTTACTCTAACTTTCAATACTTTTCAAAACTAAATGAGTGTAAATGCAGAAACCTGTGGGTCACATTGATAAACCCACATTCTGGGTTTAGAACTCAGAACCCGCTGGTGGTTCATGTCCTTTGATCTTTGCATCTGTCGTTTATGAAGATAATTAAACCTGATCACACGACGACGAGTGTCCGCATTATAACAAATACTTTTACAGAAAAACACAGAGACAGAATCCTCTCTTTATTGTCGCCATGGTTACAAAAACATCAAAGATATTTACAATTGGACCAATGAGGTCGTTGCTGGGAGGGCATCAGTAGTAATCCTCAGGCTCCGCCTTCTCCCCCTGGTTCTGGATCTGCTGCTGCTTCATGTACAAGTCTGCGATCTGCAGAGGAGAGGGATGGTCAGAGAGGAAGAGGAGGAGGAGGAAGAGGAGGAAGAGGAGGGTTTGGTCAGAGAGGAGGAGGAAGAGGAGGAAGAGGAGGAGGGAGAGGAAGAGGAGGGTTTGGTCAGAGAGGAGGAGGAGGAGGAAGAGGAGGAGGAAGAGGAGGAAGAGGGTTTGGTCAGAGAGGAGGAGGAGGAGGAAGAGGAGGAGGAAGAGGAGGAGGATGAGGAAGAGGAGGAAGAGGAGGAGGGGGGTTTGGTCAGAGAGGAAGAGTAGGAGGAACCAACACAGGAGCTAAACCAGGATCAAACCAGGATCAAACCGGGATCAAACCAGGACTAAACCAGGATCCAACCAGGATCAAACCGGGATCAAACCAGGACTAAACCAGGATCAAACCGGGATCAAACCAGGACTAAACCAGGATCAAACCAGGACCAAACCAGGACCAAACCAGGACTAAACCAGGACTAAACCAGGACTAAACCAGGACCAAACCGGGACCAAACCGGGATCAAACCAGGACTAAACCGGGATCAAACCAGGACTAAACCAGGACTAAACCAGGACTAAACCAGGACTAAACCAGGGCTGGGGTCAGTGCTTGTAAACATGTCTTCATCGTGGATCATTTTATAAGTAGCTCGCATGCTGAAAAAGTGTGAGCACCTCTGAGCACCCCTGAGCTAGCTGGTGAATGAAACTCCCAGCAGCAGGAGTCCACATGGTCCCTCCTCCCCCCTCCCCCCTCTGACCCCCCACTGAGCTCTGATCCTGAGTCCAAGTCCGACTGAGAACCATTGATCCAAACTCTGCAGCTTTTCACTAATCCACTGCTCCTGCTGTTTGAGCTGAACCAGGTCTGAGTCAGGTCTGAGTCAGGTCTGAGTCAGGTCTGAGTCAGGTCTGAGTCAGGTCTGAGTCAGGTCTGAGTCAGGTCTGAGTCAGGTCTGAGTCAGGTCTGAGTCAGGTCTGAGTCAGGTCTGAGTCAGGTCTGAGTCAGGTCTGAGTCAGGTCTGAGTCAGGTCTGAGTCAGGTCTGAGTCAGGTCTGAGTCAGGTCTGAGTCAGGTCTGAGTCAGGTCTGAGTCAGGTCTGAGTCAGGTCTGAGTCAGGTCTGAGTCAGGTCTGAGTCAGGTCTGAGTCAGGTCTGAGTCAGGTCTGAACCAGGTCTGAACCAGGTCTGAACCAGGTCTGAACCAGGTCTGAACCAGGTCTGAACCAGGTCTGAACCAGGTCTGAGTCAGGTCTAAAATAGTATAATAATATAATTAGAACATTTGAAATCTGAAATGACCAGAGAAAACACAACATTACTACTATTAATACTAATACAAATACTGCAAATACTACTAATACTACCACTCCAAATGCTGCTGCTTCTTCTATCCTAAATACATATACTACTACTTCAAATACTTGTGTACAGCTCCCGTCACATGGTCCGGGTCTGAGCGGTCCCGGTGGATCCTGGAGACTTTGTAATTGAGTTTTGTTTCCGTGCAGTTTCAGTTTTCAATAAAACAGAATTAAAATAGTGTTTGTGAATTCCCCCCGGAGCCGATCAAAGAACAAAGTGGTTTAAAGTACTTTTAAACAACTGGTACTCGACTTTTTTTACTTGTGATAAAGTAAAATGAGTTTTTCCCCAAATACACAGAACAAGACGATTATATTTGGTTCAGTGAATATGGACTGAGGCCGAGAGACTGAGGAACTACAGCCTCAGTCCTGGGTCTACAGCCTCAGTCCTGGGTCTGCAGCCTCAGTCCTGGGTCTGCAGCCTCAGTCCTGGGTCTGCAGCCTCAGTCCTGGGTCTACAGCCTCAGTCCTGGGTCTGCAGCCTCAGTCCTGGGTCTACAGCCTCAGTCCTGGGTCTGCAGCCTCAGTCCTGGGTCTACAGCCTCAGTCCTGGCTCTACAGCCTCAGTCCTGGCTCTACAGCCTCAGTCCTGGCTCTACAGCCTCAGTCCTGGGTCTACAGCCTCAGTCCTGGGTCTCACCTGTGATCCGGTGGTGGCGTCCTCCGGTTTCTTATCGTCTCTGATTCGAAGGAAACGAGGGAATCTTAGAGAAATGCCTTTTTCTGGATCCACCTGCGCGACACAGAACCATGAGACTTTTACATTAAGGATTAAAGATTCCACATTCTGTTCCATGTGATCATTAACTTATACTGTGTACATTTCCGGACAAGTCCGGACAAGAACCAGGAAGTCCTCTCACATTAGTCCTGGTCTCAGGTCTCTGTCCTGAAGTCCTCACATTAGTCCTGGTCTCAGGTCTCTGTCCTGAAGTCCTCTCACATTAGTAAGTAGTAAGTAAGTAATCTTTATTTATATACCGCCTTTTCACTGCAGATTTGAGTCTCAAAGCGGTTTACAATTGTTAATTTTTGGGCATTTGTCTCTCACTCCACACAGAGATGGGAGCGGGGCCAGTACAGGAGGCGCATGCTAGAACTATTGGACATATTTTTAGTGGTAGGGGAAACCGGAGTACCCGGAGGAAACCTACGCAGACACGGGGAGAACATGCAAACTCCACTCAGAAAGGCCCTGGTCCGACCGGGATTCGAACCCAGGACCTTCTTGCTGAGAGGCGAGAGTGCTAACCACTCAGCCACCGTGCCGCCCTGGTCTCAGGTCTCTGTCCTGAAGTCCTCTCACATTAGTCCTGGTCTCAGGTCTCTGTTGGTTTCACATGGTCATAAATATCGTACCTTGGTCCCAGTTTCAGTACGACTCTTGAACTAATGTCCAGTATTGTTATCCAGCCTAATTAAAACGTACAGGGCTCAGAGTCTGTTTTCAGAGAGTAGAGAATGAAGTTTCTCAGCAGTGGTTTTAACAGCAGCGTGATGCTAGCTCTGGGAGATTAACCACGGTCTCTCCCATTAAAGATGGCGGCTTTTACAGCCGTTTTAATAACTCAATTAGGAGCAAGGTAATGTGATGACTCAGGGACGTGAGGCGTGACCAGGAGGAGCAGAGAGAGAGAGAGAGGAGAGAGGGAGAGAGAGGAGAGAGGAGAGAGGAGGAGAGAGGGAGAGAGAGGAGAGAGGGAGAGAGAGGAGAGAGGGGAGAGGAGAGAGGAGGAGAGAGGGAGAGAGGGGAGAGAGGGAGAGAGGGGAGAGAGGGGAGAGGAGAGAGGGGAGAGAGGGAGAGAGGGGAGAGAGGGAGAGAGAGGAGAGAGGGAGAGAGAGGAGAGGAGAGAGAGAGAGAGGAGAGAGGGAGAGAGACCAGAGAGAGACCAAAGAGAGACCAGAGAGAGACCAGAGAGAGACCAGAGAGAGATTCTGATGAAATGTGTCCTCGGAGAGAGGAAGACTTGGTCGACTTTATGAATGAAGTGTGTAAACTGGACTCACCAGTCCGAGTCCGGCCTTGTAGACCGGGGACAGGGAGAGGTCTGCACACTTCACCTCCCAGACCTGCACCGCGTCCAGCCACACGTCCGGCTCCGCAGACGAGTCCACGCGGTAGTACGCCCGCGGCGCCTGGAGGATGTGCTCCTGCGGAAACAACACAATCACAGAATCAGCCACAAACACAAATGCAGGAGGTGAAGTGGTTAGAACAGCCAGAACACATCAGACCTCTGAAGCTAAGCAGGACAGGGCCTGGTTAGTACTGTGATGGGAGACTGTAGAGTGTCAGATCTGCTTTTTGCAACAATAAGAGAAAATATATGTGTTTCTTATGAAAGGTCCAGAAGGTTCTATTGGGAGTTAGATTCTCATTCTAAGCGTGAGTGAAGCCCTAACAACTGGTCTGTTTTGTGAAAAGACAATGATTTTGATTTGAGGAAAAGAAACATGGATTTTTTTTTAGAATATTGAATAGTTAAAGAGTTTTGAAATGATCCGCTGTCGGCAGGAGACGTCCGCAGAGATCCACGACTGAAGCCAACGTCAAAGTCACAGATTAAACACAAACACCATGGGCACGTCTGAACCATGGGAACCTCTGAACCATGGGAACTGGGCCAAATGTGACTGACGATGGTTCAAAGCCTGTGCCATGAGCTGAACTACAGGATCACAGGCCAAACAGAGGAGAGGAGTCAGACAAAGGACAGCGAGAAATCAGTCACGTTTAATGAACATCACTGAGCTTTAATACGAGAGTCCATGCATCAAATATTCCATCTGCTTTCAAACCCGTCTGCAAGAACATTGTTTTACTGTTTTACTGTCGGACCAATAACTAAGTAGTTCTGTTGAGTGGGAAGCGAGTGGGAACTGGCAACAATGTGAGGATTTCATAATAATGTGAGATTTGGGCCAAAACATATCGCGATCCAGACAGGATGTGATTCTGTGATATCTCGATCCATGTCCCGCATATTATTCAAAGACTTTACAAACATGGAGGAAAACAAGACTAACATTTATTAGATTGATCGGTGTGCGGTCAGTGTGTGGTCAGTGTGTGGTCAGTGTGTGGTCGGTGTGTGGTCGGTGTGTGGTCAGTGTGTGGTCAGTGTGTGGTCAGTGTGTGGTCAGTGTGTGGTCAGTGTGTGGTCGGTGTGTGGTCGGTGTGTGGTCAGTGTGTGGTCAGTGTGTGGTCAGTGTGTGGTCAGTGTGTGGTCGGTGTGTGGTCGGTGTGTGGTCAGTGTGTGGTCGGTGGTGGGAGGGGCCGATGGCACAGACTGGTTGCCAGGTAGAAATGAGATGATGTATAACATGCCATGGTCGCTCATTACCATCAATGCTGCATTAATAATTGAAAGTCATTTTAGGGGCCAGAGCGACCGTGGCGGGACAGTTGTGGGTTCGATCCCCCCCACAACCCATGCCATCTGCTCCCACTGAAGTCTGCTGTCGTCGTGTCCCTGGGCAAGACACTTAACCCCACGTTGCGAGGGTGCTTTGTGATTTAGGTGCAGCTCTGATTGCCTCGCCCCCAACCCAGAAATGGAATAATAAAGGGAATTAAAATTACTTCACGTGACATTTGAGGGTCCTTCGAGCCCGACTCTGACACGCCTTGGCCTGGGTCTAGGTTAGTGCTTACTTTGAATGATGCTAAAGTATGATAATAACCAGAATTTGAACCTGTCCATTCTGTTTTGTATTGAAATGTAGCTTTGAGAAGAATGCCTGAGCTGCGGCAAATACACAACTCTGTTCTGTGGTGTGAGATGAAAGAGGTGCATGAGACACACATGGTTGGGAGCCACTGGTCCGGGCCGTTAATAGTCACCAGTAGCCCCACACTTCTGCTGTTTCCTGGGGCCTGTAGTTTGGGCTTCTCTCCGCTGGCCTAAACTCTCCATCCATCACCTTCACACCGCTTCATTACAGCGCTCACACACACACACACACACAGTCTTTCTATTAGTCCACAGTGAACAAAACATTACCAGGGCCTCTCAATCAGACCTCCCAGGATTCTGCAGCCGCCAGCACTTCCACTAAACTAAACTTTTAACCTGCTACTTTAAAGAGAGTCCGTGTTTTCTAAAATGGAGGTACACCCAGCACAATGGAAAAGCAATCTCGCACCGTACAGTAAGAAATTGTAAGTTTGGGGAAAGTGGACAGCAGCAATAATGCAAGATTAGGGCAGAGGCTGAAGAACACGGCCCTTCTATATACACACACAGGGCAGATGGAGTGTGTTGCTCAAGGACACTAAGAGACTGGAGGAATGTGTGGTGGGTTAGAGAGGATGGACTCTCACTGCCAACCTCAAACTATACCGAGTGTGTTGCATTTTACTATAAAACAATCTCTTACAAAAGGGCATAAAGTAGAAGTCATAGCTCAGCAGCACAGGGCGGGACAGGATCAACAGTAAGAAGGTTGCAGGTTCAATCCCCAGACCAGGCCATTCCATGTGGAGTTTGCTGGGTTTCCTCCAGGCTCCAGTTTCTGTCTCCTCCCAGTGACTGTCAGGAAAGGTCTCAAAGTCTGGGTCTCTCTCTGGGGCCAGGACTGGATCTCACTGGGTCCTTCCGGTGCTGTATTTACACTACTTGGATACATGTTTCAAATGTATTATAGAAACTTATAAATTGAGATTATTTATTTTTGCTGCTACTATTAATGTGTGTGTGTGTGTATTTGTGTTGTTCATTTTTGTCCATTGTACATTCATTCTTTGAGTATATAGACCCCAGGAAGAGTAGCTACTGTGTATTTCAGTCGCTGTATAAACGGGACCTAAATAAAAACAAATCAGGGTCAATAACTAATAACGAGAATACACATGCCCAAAAGCCCCCACTGAAAGATCAAGGCTATGCTCACACTCAGAGAGCAGCCGTCCTCCTGTGGACTCACCACCTGCAGAGGGTCAGTGAGGGGCTGGTGCTATGAGACTTGGGTGGCATCTCTGACTGCCACCCCCCTGACCCAGAAATGGATTAAAGGGTAGAAAATGGATGGATGGAGAATACACATGAACTATATGGGAGAGGAGTCACTGCGTTTAAATGCCAAGAGAATGAACATTAAAAAGAACATTACTATAGAAGATTCTCTGGATTCTGCCAAAATGAGACTAATGTGGGACAAAAATGGATTATAAAAACTGATTTTGACCAATGAAGGTTAGTTTATTAGCAACAGGCCGAAACAGTCTACACAACAGCTCACACATTTACAGAGCCCGTCTTTAGGATTGAATCAGAGACGTCTGCATCTGTGACTGTGGAGACCCAGCCTCAGCTCTGACTGTGGAGACCCAGCCTCAGCTCTGACTGTGGAGACCCAGCCTCACTCTGACTGTGGAGACCCAGCCTCAGCTCTGACTGTGGAGACCCAGCCTCAGCTCTGACTGTGGAGACCCAGCCTCAGCTCTGACTGTGGAGACCCAGCCTCAGCTCTGACTGTGGAGACCCAGCCTCAGCTCTGACTGTGGAGACCCAGCCTCAGCTCTGACTGTGGAGACCCAGCCTCAGCTCGACTGTGGAGACCAGCCTCAGCTGACTGTGGAGACCCAGCCTCAGCTCTGACTGTGGAGACCCAGCCTCAGCTCTGACTGTGGAGACCCAGCCTCAGCTCTGACTGTGGAGACCCAGCCTCAGCTCTGACTGTGGAGACCCAGCCTCAGCTCTGACTGTGGACACCCAGCCTCAGCTCTGACTGTGGAGACCCAGCCTCAGCTCTGACTGTGGAGACCCAGCCTCAGCTCTGACTGTGGAGACCCAGCCTCAGCTCTGACTGTGGAGACCCAGCCTCAGCTCTGACTGTGGAGACCCAGCCTCAGCTCTGACTGTGGAGACCCAGCCTCAGCTCCGACTGTGGAGACCCAGCCTCAGCTCTGACTGTGGAGACCCAGCCTCAGCTCTGACTGTGGAGACCCAGCCTCAGCTCTGACTGTGGAGACCCAGCCTCAGCTCTGACTGTGGAGACCCAGCCTCAGCTCTGACTGTGGAGACCCAGCCTCAGCTCTGACTGTGGAGACCCAGCCTCAGCTCTGACTGTGGAGACCCAGCCGAAGCTCTGACTGTAACAGCCCTGGGAGCTTTCATCTCCATTGGTTTCATGATTCGTTAACTTTAAATGCAGTCAGAGTGGATCCATCTCTCAGTGGGTCTGCAGGGTTTGGGAGAGGGTTCTTACTCATGGGGGGTCTGAGGACATTTAAGGACCTTTACCCCCAATTGTTTTAACATGTATTAACATTTGTCATCCCACTGCACTGAGGAATAATGGCTCCTGTGTCTGTGTTAGTACTGCATCTGTTGTGTTGGAAGGGTTTGATTTTCATATCTGTTGTAGACCAGAGAGAGAGCAGGGAGAAACCAGAGAGAGAGAGACCAGAGAGAGAGAAACCAGAGAGAGAGAGACCAGAGAGAGAGAGAGACCAGAGAGAGACCAGGGAGAAACCAGAGAGAGACCAGAGAGAGAGAAAGCAGAGAGAGGGAGCAGAGAGAGGGAGCAGAGAGAGAGAGCAGAGAGAGAGAGCAGAGAGAGAGAGCAGAGAGAGAGACCAGAGAGAGAGAGCAGAGAGAGCAGAGAGAGGGAGCAGAGAGACCAGGGTGAGAGAGCAGAGAGAAAGACACCAAAGAGACCAGAGAGAGAGAGACCAAAGAGACCAGAGAGACCAGAGAGAAAGAGACCAAAGAGACCAGAGAGAAAGAGACCAAAGAGACCAGAGAGAAAGAGACCAAAGAGACCAGAGAGAGAGAGACCAGGGAGAGACCAGAGAGAGAGAGACCAGAGAGAACTAGAGAGACACCGGAAATGAGAGACCAGAGAGAGACCAGAGAGAAAGACCAGAGAGAGACCAGAGAGAGAGACCATAGAGAAAGACCAGAGAGAGACCAGAGAGAGAGACCAGAGAGAGAGACCAGAGAGAGAGACCAGAGAGAGAGACCAGAGAGAGAGACCAGAGAGAGACCAGAGAGAGACCAGAGAGAGAGACCAGAGAGAGAGACCAGAGAGAGACACCAGAGAGAGACCAGAGAGAGAGACCAGAGAGAGACCAGAGAGAGAGACCAGAGAGAGAGACCAGAGTGAGAGACCAGAGAGAGACCAGAGAGAGACCAGAGAGAGACCAGAGAGAGAGACCAGAGAGAGACCAGAGAGAGACCAGAGAGAGACCAGAGAGAGACCAGAGAGAGAGACCAGCGAGAGAGACCAGAGAGAGACCAGAGAGAGACCAGAGAGAGACCAGAGAGAGACCAGAGAGAGAGACCAGCGAGAGAGACCAGACAGAGACCAGAGAGAGACCAGAGAGAGACCAGAGAGAGACCAGAGAGAGACCAGAGAGAGACCAGAGAGAGACCAGAGAGAGACCAGCGAGAGAGACCAGACAGAGACCAGAGAGAGACCAGAGAGAGACCAGAGAGAGACCAGAGAGAGACCAGAGAGAGACCAGACCATCTATTTCACCCTTTACCAAACCGCAGACAGCCGACATTAACCCAAGTTTACACAACCGTCAATCAAACTCTGAGACGGAAACACACAAACCCCAGACGAGGCTCCACTTCCGACGCAGCCATCATTCTCGCTCTTCAATTTTTTCAGCTCGACGAAACAAACCTCTCGACGAGGAAATTGAAAAAGCAATTAATTACCGAGAGACAGTGAACGCCTCCTACGCCAGAGTTTCCGACCGAGTGCGGTATTTGCATCGACACGACATAAAAACAACCAATTTGTGTTTATAAGGAGCAATCTATTTGACTCGTGGCGGAATGCTCTAAACTTCTCGTCGATTACGGACGCGGGAAAAAAGCAGTGGAAACGGAGCCGGTCGCTCGTTATGATAAGGACAAATTGAAGTGAAACCCAGGAGGCCGTAATGTTCAAAGTGAAAAGCTGTGTTTAAGATTGCGAGTGTGAGTCTGAGGCGGACGGTTCAAAGCTGGGATTTCATTTACGCAAAACAAAACCAGAATGAAATGAGAGATTTGTGATTGTGGAGGGAATGGACTGAGGAGGCGGAGGAGAGATGTATGTGTGAGTTAGACAAGTGAAGGTAATGTTATGGCAAGGTTATAAGTATAGCACAGTTCATACATGAGGCAAAGGAAAGGCCTTAATAAAACAGGATCTGAGTGGAATGATTCTGAAAAGGTTCTGATTCTACGACTGCTTTATAACGTTTCATTCATACTTTAGTCTATCTCTCAGACCAAAGAGAGAGGGAGGGAGAGAGACCGGAGAGGGATCAGAAAGAGAACGAGGAACCAGAGAGAGAGACCAGAAAGAGACCAGAGAAACCGGAGAGGGAACAGAAAGAGCAAGACCAGAGAGAGAAAAAGAGAAAGAGAAACCAGAGAGAGAGGCCAGAGACCAGAGAGAGACCGGAGAGAGACCAGAGAGAGACCAGAGAGAGACCAGAGAGAGACCAGAGAGAGACCAGAGAGAGACCAGAGAGAGGCCAGAGAGAGAGACCAGAGAGAGACCAGAGAGAGACCAGAGAGAGACCAGAGAGAGACCAGAGAGAGAGACCAGAGAGAGACCAGAGAGAGACCAGAGAGAGACCAGAGAGAGGCCAGAGAGAGACCAGAGAGAGACCAGAGAGAGACCAGAGAGAGACCAGAGAGAGACCAGAGAGAGAGACCAGAGAGAGAGACCAGAGAGAGAGACCAGAGAGAGAGACCAGAGAGAGACCAGAGAGAGACCAGAGAGAGAGGCCAGAGACCAGAGAGAGAGACCAGAGAGAGACCAGAGAGAGACCAGAGAGAGAGACCAGAGAGAGACCAGAGAGAGACAGAGAGAGACCAGAGAGAGACCAGAGAGAGACCAGAGACCAGAGAGAGGCCAGAGAGAGAGACCAGAGAGAGAGACCAGAGAGAGAGACCAGAGAGAGAGACCAGAGAGAGAGACCAGAGAGACCAGAGAGAGAGACCAGAGAGAGACCAGAGAGACCAGAGAAAGACCAGAAAGAGCAAGACCAGAGAGAAAAAGAGAAAGCGAGAGAGAGACCAGAGAGAGACCAGAAAGACCAGAGAGAGACCAGAGAGAGACCAGAAAGACCAGAGAGAAACCAGAGTCACAGTCACTCAGTTACGTTTCGTTCTGTTTATGAAGATCAATCCTTACAAATGTTAAAGTACAGACTGAGGACGACACGCTGCTAAAAAGCGTCACAGTCAATCTTGAATCAATGTTCTCTGCTCATTAACTTATGGTTGATCGTTACTCATTATCAGCAATGAATATTCATGTCTCTGATCCTGAGTATCTGAGACAACAAAACTAATCGTCTCAAGCCTCAGGCGTTTCAAACTCTCTTCCTATTGGACGAGGGGACACCCGCCATCTTGTTCTTCACCGGTGTAGAAGCTTTATGTCAAACCAGTGAGAATGTTCTAAAACGGACAAGCAACAGATGGTCTGGTCTCTCTGGTCTCTTCTCTCTCTCAGTGAGGACCAGGAGGAGCATCTGACCAGAAATGGATTAAGGGAAGAAGATGAATAGATACTGAATAACACCATGACGTGCATAGTGTACATATAGTTTGACAGCACCAGTTAAAAGTTTCAGGACAGACAGTGAAAATCAGCCTCGGCGATAAATGTAGCGTTTCACATCTACTAAATAAATAAATAAACAATATATCAGACAGTAACAGGAAAACTAGTGCTGCGTCGTTACCTTGAGAAACTTGTAGTGCTGCTCCAGATCCTCTTCTTTAAAGCCGGTGCCGATCTGAAACACACACACACTGCTCGTTAGATCTGAAACACACACACTGCTCGTTAGATTTGAAACACACACACACTGCTCGTTAGATCTGAAACACACACACACTGCTCGTTAGATCTGAAACACACACACACTGCTCGTTAGATCTGAAACACACACACTGCTCGTTAGATCTGTAACACACACACTGCTCGTTAGATCTGAAACACACACACACTGCTCGTTAGATCTGAAACACACACACACTGCTCGTTAGATCTGAAACACACACACACTGCTCGTTAGATCTGAAACACACACACACTGCTGGTTAGATCTGAAACACACACACACTGCTCGTTAGATCTGAAACACACACACACTGCTCGTTAGATCTGAAACACACACACACTGCTCGTTAGATCTGAAACAGACACACACTGCTCGTTAGATCTGAAACACACACACACTGCTCGTTAGATCTGAAACACACACACACTGCTCGTTAGATCTGAAACACACACACTGCTCGTTAGATCTGTAACACACACACTGCTCGTTAGATCTGTAACACACACACTGCTCGTTAGATCTGAAACACACACACACTGCTCGTTAGATCTGTAACACACACACTGCTCGTTAGATCTGTAACACACACACTGCTCGTTAGATCTGAAACACACACACACTGCTCGTTAGATCTGAAACACACACACACTGCTCGTTAGATCTGAAACACACACACACTGCTCGTTAGATCTGAAACACACACACACTGTTCGTTAGATCTGTGCCGAGAGGTCCTCCCCAGAGACACCTCTGCTAATCCTGAGGCCCCACGGCAGCCATGACACTAAACTCTGGAAGAACACGATCAAACGTGTTTGCAAATGACACACCGGCACTTACAGGAGCACAGGGACTGAAGGCAGACACACAGGGACTGGGGTAAGGGTAGAGTACAGTAGTAGGGTAAGGGTAGAGTACAGTAGTAGGGTAAGGGTAGAGTACAGTAGTAGGGTAACGGTAGGGTACAGTAGTAGGGTAAGGGTAGAGTACAGTAGTAGGGTAAGGGTAGAGTACAGTAGTAGGGTAAGGGTAGGGTACAGTAGTAGGGTAAGGGTAGAGTACAGTAGTAGGGTAGGGTACAGTAGTAGGGTAAGGGTAGAGTACAGTAGTAGGGTAACGGTAGGGTACAGTAGTAGGGTAAGGGTAGAGTACAGTAGTAGGGTAAGGGTAGAGTACAGTAGTAGGGTAAGGGTAGGGTACAGTAGTAGGGTAAGGGTAGAGTACAGTAGTAGGGTAAGGGTAGGGTACAGTAGTAGGGTAAGGGTAGAGTACAGTAGTAGGGTAGGGTACAGTAGTAGGGTAAGGGTAGAGTACAGTAGTAGAGTAAGGGTAGGGTACAGTAGTAGGGTAAGGGTAGAGTACAGTAGTAGGGTAAGGGTAGAGTACAGTAGTAGGGTAAGGGTAGGGTACAGTAGTAGGGTAAGGGTAGAGTACAGTAGTAGGGTAAGGGTAGAGTACAGTAGTAGAGTAAGGGTAGAGTACAGTAGTAGGGTAGGGTACAGTAGTAGGGTAAGGGTAGAGTACAGTAGTAGAGTAAGGGTAGGGTACAGTAGTAGGGTAAGGGTAGAGTACAGTAGTAGGGTAAGGGTAGAGTACAGTAGTAGTAGGGTAGTAGAGGGTAAGGTACAGTAGTAGGGTAAGGGTAGGTACAGTAGTAGGGTAAGGTAGGGTACAGTAGTAGGTAGGGGTAGTAGGGTAAGGGTAGAGTACAGTAGTAGGTAAGGGTAGGTACAGTAGTAGGGTAAGGTAGAGTACAGTAGTAGGGTAAGGGTAGAGTACAGTAGTAGGGTAAGGGTAGGGTACAGTAGTAGGGTAAGGGGTAGGGTACAGTAGTAGGGTAAGTGGTAAGTAGGAGTAAGTAGTAGGGTAAGGGTAGAGTACAGGTAGTAGAGTAAGGGTAAGGTACAGTAGTAGGGTACAGTAGTAGGGTAAGGGTAGAGTAAGTAGTAGAGTAAGGGTAGAGTACAGTAGTAGGGTAAGGGTAGAGTACAGTAGTAGGGTAAGGTTAGGGTACAGTAGTAGGGTAAGGGTAGAGTACAGTAGTAGAGTAAGGGTAGGGTACAGTAGTAGGGTAAGGGTAGAGTACAGTAGTAGGGTAAGGGTAGGGTACAGTAGTAGGGTAAGGGTAGGGTACAGTAGTAGGGTAAGGGTAGAGTACAGTAGTAGGGTAAGGGTAGAGTACAGTAGTAGGGTAAGGGTAGGGTACAGTAGTAGGGTAAGGGTAGGGTACAGTAGTAGGGTAAGGGTAGGGTACAGTAGTAGGGTAAGGGTAGGGTACAGTAGTAGGGTAAGGGTAGGGTACAGTAGTAGGGTAAGGGTAGAGTACAGTAGTAGGGTAAGGGTAGGGTACAGTAGTAGGGTAAGGGTAGAGTACAGTAGTAGGGTAAGGTACAGTAGTAGGGTAAGGGTAGAGTACAATAGTAGGGTAAGGTACAGTAGTAGGGTAACGGTAGAGTACAGTAGTAGGGTAAGGTACAGTAGTAGGGTAACGGTAGAGTACAGTAGTAGGGTAAGGGTAGGGTACAGTAGTAGAGTAAGGGTAGGGTACAGTAGTAGGGTAAGGGTAGAGTACAGTAGTAGGGTAAGGGTAGGAGTACAGTAGTAGGGTAAGGGTAGAGTACAGTAGTAGGGTAAGGTGGGTACAGTAGTAGGGTAAGGGTAGAGTACAGTAGTAGAGTAAGGGTAGGGTACAGTAGTAGGGTAACGGTAGAGTACAGTAGTAGGGTAAGGGTAGAGTACAGTAGTAGGGTAAGGGTAGAGTACAGTAGTAGGGTAAGGGGTAACAGTAGTAAGGTAATTAAAGAAGGTTGCATAAGTATCCATCCCCCTTCACATTTTCTCAGGATATACATTACTTTATTTGATGAAGTTTTGTGGAAGTGGTTCAGAATTTGACCAGAAAAAATGATATTCAAGAGTTCAAATCAATAATATCTAATTCTCTTTACAATTAAATACAAATGCAAAACTCCCATTTCCCTGACTGTCCCTACTGTATGAGCCTTAAACTGTCCCTGTGGCCTGGAAACAAAGTGGACTCCCAGGTACTTGGCAAAGTCCTCTCTCTGTCCCTGGCTCAGACTCACAATGTCATTAAAAACAGTGTGTAGAAGATAAAATGTGTAGAAGAAGAGGAAGTGCCGCTAAAGACCTCATTTTTGTTCCATATATGATAAAACCAGAGAGCCTGGTCTGGTCTGGTCTGGTCCGGCCCAACTGCAAATCTACCAACACACTGCGGTCTAACCTCGGTCGAGCTGAGAGTTTGGGAAACTACTGACCCCGGAGTAATGATGGGGAAATAGATTCTGTTCCATATATTCTGGGATGTTATTATTTGGACACAGTAGAAAAGTGTTGCGATATATAAATAATTATCTGCTTTCATTTTGTGTTTTCTAGGCATTTCCGACTGATACAATTCTTTGATGGTTTTGCTTCGTTGATTCCTGCTCTGCTTCTCAGACACTTTTCCCTCTTCAATATCAAGTTAAAGATTTTCAATAGAAATCGCTCAAAGCAACACAGTAGACTTCCAGCTCTGCGCACGGGAAGCCTGGCACGGTCCGGCTCGGAATCAATGATGGAAATGTGGACCACAGAGAAACCTGGATCTGCCAAAACTACTGCGGCATCAAACTGAGTGGATTATGAGACGAGAACAAAGTCAAAACAAGACAAGATCAACTTCATAGATCTCACAAAAGGAGAAATGTTAAAGGTTGAAAATATAGTCTGTGCTCAACATAATTATGGACAATAAAAAGGTTTGCACTTGTCAGAGGGATGCACCGATTGGGAAACTTTGGACCGATACGATATTTAACATAACGTCTTTTCTTTTTGTTAATTATATATTTTTTGGCGGCTTTAGTTTTCAGTTTTCCTTCAGCTTCATGCAGTCGCTGTCTCCGCCTCTTGCTTCTGAAACGTTCAATGAGATTCTTTGTTAAATGATTTTCTAGCAGCTCTTTAAATCTCACTGGAACAAAACCAAAATGAGTCACATGGAACAGTGCAAGGGCAGCTCTGATATAAAAGGCTGAGCCAAAGATCGGTTTGACCGGCCACCTGGTACTAGGTATGTTACCACCTGGTACTAGGTACGTTACCACCTGGTACTAGGTACGTTACCACCTGGTACTTGGTACGTTACCACCTGGTACTAGGTACGTTACCACCTGGTACTAGGTACGCGGCCACCTGGTACTAGGTACGCGGCCACCTGGTACTGCGTATGCAGAAGGAGGAAGGTTTGGAGGCGTGTGAACCAGGTGCGCAGTGAGGCCATGGATGATGGTGGTTAATGGAGAGGACAGAGGTGATGCGGTCATTACAGATCAATACAACAACAACTTATTCTTGTAAAGCCCTAAATCACAACATCTCAGAGATTTAACAAAACCATTGAAATCACAATACAGAAGTCTGTATTTTATCTATTGGCTGAAAAAGTACTAGTTTCCAAACAAAACCTGCAACACGAGCAAATGTCTTAAGCCTCAGCTCTGTCTGTCTGAGCCTGGGCTTTACTCAGACATTCTCCAGCAGCAGCAGCAGCAGCAGCAGCAGCAGCAGCAGCAGCAGCAGCAGCAGCAGCAGCAGATGGAGAATGGAGCAGGCCTGACTGGAGTTCAAGGACACAGCGGTGATGAGGATCTCAGTGGGAGAAGCAGAGGTTTCTCAGTTAAGTCCCAGCTCAGAGTCGCTGCATCAAGGACGAGCCCTGGACTCTGGGATCTGGGCCATTGTTTAACTTTGAGGCGAAGAAGTCCCAGCAGACACACAGCCAACAGGAAGACATGTGCTGGTGTAGAGCAGCCCACATGGTGTGCTTTTACCATGTGTCACTCTGCCTACAGTACACACTTCAGGGCTCTATACTGAACCAGAGCAGATCCAAGTAGACTGATGTGGACTAGACTTTGCCCCAGAGGAAGGCTCAGTGTTGA